ATCTTGAGCCGCATTGCACCATCAGCCCTACGAAGGCAGGAATCCTTAGTGAAGGAGCACAACAAAACTATGAGAAACCCATTTCTTCCTGTGCATGCTGATTTTCCTTATCTATCAATTGGCAGGCTTAAATCCAGGAAGCCCTCTCTGGCACTTGTTCAACAGCTGTCTAACAACTTTAACGTCAACAGACAGTGGAAAACCAAATGGGCTGCCGAACGCCCAGATACAGGCAGTTACGTAGATGACCCTACACAAAAGGTGCCTGGTTTTGACCTTCTTCACCAGCATTGGTCAACTCTGAACAGGATCCTTACCCAATATGGTGTTCGCCAGGACTCATTGTTTAAGTGGGGTCTTGTCTCTACCCCTCAGTGTGGCTGAGATGCTCCTCGACAAAATATCTACCACATTGTGTCTGAATGTCCATCAAAAGCTTATACTGGCCCAATGTCTGATTTTTTCAACATAGACCACCCTGTCCTTGAATGGCTGGGTGGACTGGACATTAACATTTAAACTACTATAAGTCCATGTATTTGCCATACGCTAAATAAATAAATCCTATGGCTCTGATATTTCCTGGTGGTCTCCTTGTTCTTATCAAGTCTGACCCTGTTTAGCTTTTTGAAATCAGTCAAGAGGTTGCCATCTAGCTGAACAAGGCTGAGACAAGGCTGCAGACCAATTATATAATCTTATAACTAAGTAAGCTGTGATTTTTCATAGCTGTGTGGAATTCAAATAGTTGTAAACTTTCAAAGCCATAATATGGACAGGTTATGTCATTTTGTTATACCAAATTTTTTTGGTCAAAAGCCACTACCCACTGTCTGAGAAATCAATGGGTATGTGCTGTAATCTCTATTCACACACCCACACTCACCGATCTTTTGTTAAGATTGCAATAAAGATCTCCCTGAAGACTCGTTAGCAGCTGAAGATGTTTCCATATGTTTCTCCCACCACAAGAGAACATAAAGGGAAGTATATTCATGGGAAATAAATCAGAAGACTTCACTTATTGCAACTATCACATAGTCGTAACTGAAATACATCCTTCTTGTTTTTTCAGGATGCAATGGCTATAAAGGCGTTGCTTCTGAAGAATGCTGTGCTGTGATTTACAGAGATTGCTAAGTCTTCTCTCCAGTTATGAGGATGGCTCAAGTTTAGGAACTAGGCTAACCTAATGTTATGTCATCAAAATAAATTTAGGGATTAAAAATAGATGCCAGACTGGGACACCCAGAAGCCACCTCAGACTTTGAACTGTAGTTATAGTAAAACTTTAATTGCTATGCAATTGTTTTTAGTTTTAAGGGAAAATGGAATTAATTACAAACATATAAAGTCATTTTCAAAGCCTTGAAAGTAAGGTTGGTCCAGTATAGTTCAGAATTTTTCAATACTGAGTTACTACAAATGAATAATGCAAGAGGAAAGGGACCTGAGCCAATGTACTATGCATATTCAGAGAATCCAGTTCAATCTATGGGTAGGCATCTACTGTAAACACAACCCTACTTTTTCAGCTCATAAAATACACACAGGGATAACTTACTTGGGAAACATGTGCCATTATTATCCTAAAAAATTTGGAGAAAGATTATAGATGATAAGGATGAGGATGAGACAGACAGATGATAGACAGAAAGACAGACAGACAGACAGGTGTGTGTGTGTGTGTGTGTGTGTGTGTGTGTGTGTGTGTGTGAGAGAGAGAGAGAGAGAGAGAGAGAGAGAGAGAGAGACATGCTTCTAGCAGGATTTTTATTCTTTAATAGATACAAAATAAAGAGAAAATCAGTAGATTCAGCTTTTGCTTTCCATGCTGCTATTTGCTATGTAAAATTATTTACATAGTTTTACCCCTGGAGGCTTATATTTTAAAAAAGATATCAACGGTTAAGTTGAATTAAGATTTTATTATTTATTATGGGTAACATGTAGAGTGACATATGGATTAAATATATAGAGTTCAAAAAATCTGGATGACCACAAATGATAGTAAATGACTGTCTATGTTCTTTGTTTCTTTGTAATGATCATTGGGACATTTGCATCTAGATAAGGCAACCCTATTATTTGTCCTGGGCTGAAGGCATTGCTACACATTTTTCTTCGCTGGGCACCTGCATCTTTAGCATCTACCATAAGGGTCACAAAAAAGGAGTTTTCCAAAACAAAAATGCAGTATAGTAAAGGGATTAGAACTAGCATTTCTAGACCTCAGCAACTCTAAACTACATGGACTTCAACTCCCAGAATTCCCTAGGCACCCAGGGGGATAGCTTAAAGTTGCTGAGGTCGAAAAATACTGCATTTGAGTTTTAAAAGCAAAAGAACTCCTATGGGAAAAAAATTAGATCCATGCACTAAGATAATCTTCCTGTTGGTGATTTCGGGCTTCTTTATAAAATTACCTAGCTATCTCTAAGGCAACATGAAGCATTACTTTTATTTTGGCACAGCAATGACTGAACACCTTTATAAAATGCTTTAAGTTGTTAGAAAGGAAATGATCTAATTGGTAATAACTCTTATCATTATGTCAGTGTTTCCTGGTCTGTTTACTTTCCAAAAGCATTGTGCCTTTACATTTGTGTAGCCTTATAATTACAGTCATATAGGCAATGCATTGAATATTTCAAACAGAGAAAGCTTGAGATAAGTATTAAAAATAAAATTGTCCTCCTAACCTATATTGCAGTCTGACCCATTTTCTAAATTGCAGGAAACATTGAGAAGGAAGTTAACATATATAATCTGCAAACTAATTAGTAGGAAATATATTGACATCATAATTACTGTACAATAATACGACTGGGCTTCATGTATCGGGAAAATTCCACAGACTGATAGACAATGCAAAAGAAAGAAACAAGGATTTCTGCTGTATCCATAGCAAAGCGATTAACCAAAGCGATTACGAGCTTGGAATTTGAATATTTTAAAAATCTGTTAGACAAATTTAAAGTGCTGAATTTGAAAACAAAGAAAAGAAAGCATTTGGTATTGAATGTTTTGCTTTATTGCTCTAATGTATTTTTATTCTTTTCATTTGTTTTATTCAGCCAGACAAACAATACTGGTGTTGGTGGAGATAAACTAGCACTTTTGTGGCCTAAATACTCTACTCTAACTACTCAGAGAACGATGAACGGGAAGCAATGAGTCATGAGCATCCTTTGTGTATTATTTTATAACCAATTATTGGCTCCCACCTCCCTATTTTCTGACCATACTGAAACCGATTCAGATTAGTGAAGAGGAGGAAGAGGAAGAATCAGCAAGGCCAAAGGAAAACTCAGGAAAAATAGCAAATGTTAGCTGAGGGATGGCGTTTGCCCTAGAAAAAGCAGATTAAGGGCTATACGGCAAACATCTTTTGTGTTTTAGTTATTGGAAATGAACTAAGTTATTTTTGCATAAAACAGTCCGTTTCTAAAGAACGAGCAATGATGTCTTTGCTTTATAGGTTAATTTTATACATCAATTATATATCAGCAAATAAAACTCCTTTGAGTTTCATTAGCAGTGGCATATTTCCTGTTATTACGAAAGAATGCTAGGAAATACCTAGCAAAATTATGGCTTGATTTATTCCGTTTCCACATTTGATGTATGGCTAAAGTGTGACAGCATCTTTCTTTCAATGTATGAACGTTTAAAAAATTATATTTGATACTCCATAAACCATTCAATTTATGAAATTCTTTAAAGAAAGAATAAGATCAGGGTACAAATGTATTTTAGAAAATACATTGAAAATATAATAGATAGAAAATATAAGTCAGAACAAAGACTCTATCATCCTCCAGATATTGCCAAACAACAGTTCTGAACAACTCTAGTTCACATAGTCAATGTGGAAGAAGGCCGAAAATTATAATTTAGTAATGTTTGGAGTTCCCAGATTCACTATTTCTGTTTTAAATGTATCTTTAGCCCATTCTCCAGCTTAGTTTTAAGTACAGTTGTATATAAAAAATTAAGGTCACTTGTTATATTTCAGTCATTCTCTAACTGAACAGAACCTGACACAATGCTTATGTGGTACAAAGTTAAACACATCCTTTTGCAAATTTGTGTGAATATCTGCTGTTTATGTACAGTTATTTGCCTTCCAAAAAAGCTTCTGTTTACTTAAGAAATTATCAAAAGTTTCAATCCAACTGAATTGAATCCAAAAGCTGAAACTTTTGTGTGTAACTATACCTTAATTAGGCTTTAGTTTCATTTATTAGCTCCAGCAGCTTGTCTCGGCTTTTGAGTTTATTTCACACAGAATATCATTTAGAAGTATATTGAAAATGAAAGATAACTTGCAGTGAATCAAGGAGAACTAACAATGTCTCTAGAGATAATCCTTCTTTTATTTATTTATGTGTTTTATTTATTGATTCATCAATGTGTCATTTTGCTTTGGTGAGGATATGATATATGGTGAATAGTCATTTTTTTTAATCACACTACTTAATTCTAAAGGCAGAGGGCAGCTCAGTTATTAAGCAAGTCACTAAGTGAAACCAGAGCTGTCCTCATGATCTTCAGCTTTGTTTTCCTTTACAGACTTGCAAAGTTCCTAAATAAGGGCTTTGTTCTCAAAGTTACTTTTCACCACCATTTTACCTGTGAAAAAGTGCTCTATGAGGCAGTCACTATGGGAGAACTACCTATAAAGAAAATTATGCTTGGGTTTTTCAAACTTTCCAAAGTATTGCTTTTATGGAAACTCCAAGTGGCACCGAGACCTTAATCACTGTATTCTTGCTTTATACATTTATTTAAAATAACAGCATATTTCTGAATAAGTACTTTTAAAGGTTTGATTCATTTATTTAATCATATAAAGCAGATTTTATAATCCACACTTATTATTTTGTTTTACTATTCTATTTGTTATTTTTATTTGTTCACCAGTTCTTCTGAATGCCAGACTCCAGAGAGATATTTAATACCTGACATGTTTTTCCATCTCATTCTGTTTTTTTCAGTCTGACAACTGACGAGCACGGGGTATTATTTTCTTCAGTGAGCCAATGACTGTATGCTGCCCTCTGATCCTTAGCCTCAGATAAAGGAAAAACAGAAGTGAAAAAAATAAACTATATCATGCTTGGAATGTACATTCTCCACTGAAGAAGTTCCAGTGACTCAAAAAAAGAAAAGAAAAGAGGAAGAGAAACTGTCGGGGCCATAACTTGTTTTTCCAGTTCTAGAAGCAATGTAGGGGACAAAGACTCATCACCTATACATGTGAAAACAAAATAGGAAAGTATCAATCCTATGGATTTTTAATCAACTCAAACATTGTTTCTAATTCATGCTTTCGTAACATCATGATTTAGGAACTGAATGATAGAAGAGTAACTATTTTTCTGGGAAGAAATATTTAAATAAAATTTCCTGCAGCAGAGAAAGAACCAGTTTAGTGTAGTGGTTAAGGCATCAAGCTAGAATATAGGATACTGTAAGTTGAAGTCTTGCCTTAGGCACAAAGCCAGTTGAGTGACTTGTGCCAGTCACTCTCACTCAACTTGAGGAAGCAGGCAATGGTAAACCATTTTGAAAAAACCTTGCCCAGGAAACTGCAAAGACAGGCAGTCCAGGCAGTCACCAGCAGTCAAAATTGACTCAAAGGCACACACACACACATTACACACATGGACAGCCCAGGGATAGGGAAACTGCAGCTCTCCAGATGTTTTTGGAATCCAATAGTCAACGTTAGATACATGAATAGTAATCAAAATGAGATTTTTAATTTTTTAATTAGCTTACTTAATAGTTTGGGAAATGCTATAGAGATACTATAATGTGACTTAACCACATCATATGAATAACTTATTCATATATCATATTCTGATTAGCAAACTAGTGAAGGTGGATTTATAACTGATTTATAAGCCATATAAATGATTTCTCACCAATGGTTCCTTAAATTAGAACAGGTTGTCAAGTACATTCTCATAGGCTTTGGTCCTGATTCTAGTACTCTAACATTTTCCTGAATAGTTTTATTGAGAAGCTGAGTAGCCAGAATTCTAACAAAATATGCTCATGTCTTCAAACTGGAAGATTTTCAATGTTCTAGCAAATGCTTAAGAACACAAAAACAAATTTTAAAGAACTTGTTCAACCAGAGGCAAACTTAAATAAAATAATGTAATTTAATAGAGGGAATTACAAAATCTCTCATTAAGTAAAATGAAATTGCAAGCATAGTTACAGGATTAGGGATATTTGGTAAGGCTCTGCAGTAGTTCAGAAATACTGTGGAAAAGGTGTTGTGCAATCGCACCAAAAAAGGAAGACTTCACCCTCGCTTGTCAGTATCTTTTTGAAAAACAAGGTAGCAGCTTTTTCTAACTTTCAGCTGCAAGCTCCAGACTCCAATTTCAAAGACTATTTTGACACTGGAATTCAATGAAGAGGGAGTGACCCAAAAAACCCCTTGAATTAGGAAATGCTTGTGATTTTAAAGCCTTTGCTCGTTAGTTGAAGCAATTACAAGTTTCTGTAGACACTAAAAATGTTTGTCTCTTAACAAGAATGTCTAAAATAACAGTAATTAACGTCTGGTGAGAACAGGTTAAATTACTCTGAATCTGCTGAGAGGCAACATGTCAAAGATTTTGAACTATCGAAAGGGAATAAAAATAGGCAGGATTAATAGACTTGTCCATGGAGTTTCTTACCCAGCAATACTTTTTGATGAATATACCTTATAATGCTGAATCAGATCAATTTCTGGGAAAAATTTATGTTTTGTTTTCATTAAAACCTGAATACCAATTTCAAATAGGAGCATTGTACCTTTTAGAGTTTCATTTTCATTTATTATAAAGACCCAGTGCATTTCTAGATTGGTTTCTCAAAAGTACTGTTCAAAATAGCATTTTATCACTGTCAAGACAAACATGGTCTTTGAAATGGAAAAATGAAAAGAGCAGGTTTTTACCAGAAGTTGTACTGTTTGTTGTCTTTTCTTGAATTCTGCACCAAAAAATTATCAGATCCAGAAACTGCTGAAATACTTGTTTCAGTTAAGATCAGGATCAGAAATAAAGCAGTAGTCCATTTAGTTTCTAAATGTTATCTGCTACTTTTTCCTATTTTATTTGGATATAATTAGTGGAAAATGTTTCTCTATTGTAATTTCCAGTATGACCTTTCCAGTAATCCAAATACAATTAGATTTTTCTCCTTTTTGCAATGTTTTCCCATCTCTCATCTTTTTTTTCCTGTTTCTTCTTCAAAATTCATTTCTGTTTTATTATGCAATGGAGGTTTTTTTGCATTTCAAATTGAAATCATATGAAGGACCGCTTCCATTATATTGTCAGATTCCATCTTGAATGCTGCCCGTTCTGAGCATGGCAATATTAAGAGATACTGGAACAGGTGCAAAGAAGCATAATTTAGATCAACGGGACTGGAGATAAGTCTTAAGAAGATAAATGAAGGGAAATCATTTTAGAAAAAAAAATGATGGCAAGAGATATTATAGCACTTTTCAAATACTTGAAAGGGTTTAAAACATAAGAAAATTAAGATCTGTTCTCTATGGTCTATGTAGGTAGGAGATAATATAAACAGCCTTATGTTATAGCAAGGAAGATTTTGGCTCGTATAAGGAAAATTTCCTAGGGGTAAGAGGAATTTAATAGCGGAATCAGATATTTACTTATGGATGGAAAACAAACAAACCCAGAAAACATCTGGGAAATAAATGGTGAAGTTAGCAATGCAACATTTTACACAGGATTGGCTTCTTTCTATGGATTAACATTCACAGGACAAATACAAATGTCAAACACTACTTTATATAACATGTTCGAGTATAATCTCTGCTGTGATAAAAAATATTAAAATTTGCCCATACTATCTACTGGTATAAAGATAGTCATTTTCTAAGTCTTTTGTTGGGGGACTACAGGGTGAGGTTCCAATAATAGATCAGAGTGAATATTCGTTGAATATTTGATACTTCAACCAAACCTTTATAGTTGAATGTTGCTCTACCAACTGCAAAATTTCTACTAAGAAAGGACTCTTTTGTGTGAAAGTATTAAAATATTATTGTCCACAGCAGAATCCAGCAGAAAAGTATGCTGGATGCATTTCCAAACATTTCTGCTTTGAAGCTATCGCTCTGGGAATCAGAACTGAGCAAAGGAGTCATTCTATTTCTCTCCCACTCTCTCTTGCTAACCATAGATGTGAGGAAAAATAGGAAAAGGTAGGAGGGAAACTAGGTCTTTTGTTGCTAATTTTCCAGCTCCAAAAGACGCACTTCCCCTCATGGAGCTGTGATTGAAGATCCTATATACTGTATATAGCAGAGGCAATATGAATTTAATGAAAAACAACATCAGACACAAATTGTGAAGTGTAATATAAGCTAGATATAGTTTTTTCATTGCTAACAGACATAATGGTTCAGAATAATTGTAATTTTGTGATATTTATTATGTGATTTATGGAAGAATATTTTTACAAAAAATGCTGTCATTGGATAGTTGGGGAAATATATTTTGACTAACTCTTCCATATTAGCATTTTTAAAACTATTATATAGTGTTCAGGTAAGGAAATATGTTAACAAATGTTATGTATTTTGTGTCTTCATTATTAATTATTTCTACTTTATATTATTTTTTCAAAATTTTTATTTTCTCTCTGATTCTCTTCTTGTTTATTTGATTTTTTTAGGAGATATTTCTCTTAAACATTGAAAAGGAATTTCCTTACTTAAAAGGGAAAGAGTTAAAGTGTAGCTTTCCAAAACATTTGAGAAGCATATGAGATTTTCCCCCCTGCAAATCTTGCCGCGAAAAAAGGTTTGAATCAATTATCCTTTTTATCAATATATTTTGCTGATGGCAACAGTTTGTTCCAATAACTTTTAACAGTCTGCATCTACTCTATATGTAAAGTTTTTATTGATATACATTTGGAAAAGATTATTTATAAAATTGCAAAGCTGTTTGGACTGGGATGTGGATGTGTTTTTAGCATGTACAATCCCCCCATCCGCCCACCCCCACTTTCAGTTTATTGGGAAAAAAAACAAGAAATATGAGGCCCTGTTTCATTTTCCACCTGATAGAAAAATCAGTCCTTTTTTTTATTGAGCAAGAGTATCAGAGTAAGTAACGTTACATGAAAGAACCTTCAAGTGATGCTTCTATTAATGTGACTCTTCAGGTTATAGATACCTCATAAATTATTTCAGAATTGTCTTCTTTATTTTTAGGATCTCAGAATCCTGGCTGTTCCCATTCTTCTATAATATGTTCCTAGGCATTCATACTGGATCCCTTTTCAAAGTTGTTATCACGTATTAATTTTGCAACCAAAATAGAAGAACTTAGATAAGGGACAAGTAAGTCCAGTCAAAGGAACTTTTCCCAAGTGCAATTTTAAGTCAGATTCAAGTAGTCTTACCTTTTGCAAATAGTAGCTGAAAGGTGAGTTACCTTGCTTCAGGCATTCCCCTCCATTGCTCTGGTCACTGGTCAGCCTGTGCATTTCTCTTTACCCTCTCAATTAGTGCTGTATTTTCTGAGTTTCTTTCAGTCATCTGTTCCTTTTCCCTATTTTAAAATTAAGTTTCCAGGCAATCTACCTTCCAACAACAAAGAAGAAAAGTAACCCTTGCCGGATACAATTTTATTCATGAACGAAGAGAAGGCATATTTAAGCAACACTGAAATGGCATTAGAGTAGATATAGCAATCCTGCTTTCCCTATTAAAATAAGAGGTGTTCTAATTTGCCACCCAATCATAGTGTGATCTGTCTCTTCCGCTCTGAAATTATTTCTGTTCTGGTGTGTCCTTTATATATGTCTAATAACTGCTGCTCAGACTAAATCTGTTTGGTCCTACTCAACCTATGAAAAGTTTATAAATTCATTTATAAACATGTGGCCTTCCCAAGTTCCGTTTTCACTGGCAGAGGATTGCAGGAGGCCATCCTAGCCGAAAACGGAGATTGGGAGCACGTTTTCACTGGCAGAGGTACCATGGGCCGATCCTTTACTCTTTTCAGGGCAGCCCCACAGATCGGATGTTAGCACTCCATGGGCTGGATCTGGCCCCGGGCCTTGAGTTTGACACCCCTGTTCTAATGACTTTGTTCTTGTCACATGGTTTTCTCTTATACAATATCTACATAGAGGATAGGATAAGGGCAACCTAATGGATGAGGCATAAAAACAGAGATGAAAACCATTTGGTGTGTTTATAATAACTAGTGCAACCACTGTACCAAACAGTGCAGTTGGGCATAGAATTACAATAGACACAACAGAAGCAAAACAAGGATTAGTGATGCAGATATTCAGTATTATTTTATGCTGAACACAAGGAGTGAATAACACTTTAAATCAATAGTCGGGAAATGGCCATGGAAATATAAGGGCATTTTAATATTCAAAGGAAAATATAAACAATTAAATAGATTGTTATATGTGAATTATGCTTTCAGACATAACTGACATGAAAGAGTACATATGGAAATCAATATATTTTAAAATCTAAATCACAAATATATGAACTCTGCATTTTTAGATACTTCTCCCATAAACCTGAAATACATTTGTTATTCCAAAACCAGTTGATAAAAATGTTACTTTACTTATAGACAGGCCAGCTCAGAATGACTTTGGCTGTCCTAGGTCTGCTGAATCTCTCCAGAAGTTTAGAAAAAGCTAAGCTAACCTTTAGCCTTACAGTAAAAGAAGTTGAGATATAAGATTTATCTTCCCTTTCACAGGCCATATATCTGTATATTTCCTCTTCAGGAAGATGTTGATAGCAATCTTTCAACAATCCCTTTAGACTTTCCCCTACGTTTCTTCCCTATCTCCCCCATCCCTTAAATTCTGTACTCTGCTACACTGCTGAAAATATAAGTGTTTCCTAGATATGATGGGGATCCATTATTTTGTATTTAGATAGATCAAGATAATCTTTTATATTATCTTTTAATTATTATCTTCTAAAGCTAACATATTTTGTAACTCTTCTCTCCCTCTTTCCCCTCTCCCTCTTTCCTTCTCTCCCCCCTCTCTCCCCCTCTCTCCATCTACTTACTTGCCTATTGAAATTAATCTGGATAGAATTTTGCATTGTATTTTATTTATTAAAGGAGATATGGGAGCCCCGAGACATGAAAATGCAGAAGTTATGTCCCTCCAATTTCCATCCATTTTCTCATTTTAGTAACTTGTCTACAATCTCATTTATGTCCTCTAATTTTTCATTAGTTATATCTAAATTTCCAATAGTTTGGTCTATTTTCCTTTTCAAACATAAATATTTGCTCTGAAATGCAGCATATTAATTTTAAGATTCATAGTCCTTGCTATTTTCCTATAATCTAACATTTCTTATAATTCATCCATATTCTCAGCCAACAACACATTATTTGCCTATAGAAGTACATGCACATTCATATCCCCAACCACTGACTCCACAATAATTTCTCATATATTTATCCAAGAAACATATTAAGTAATCAAGAGACATCAATTCTTGTCTTATTCCATTCCTTTATTTTAAAAGATTTGCTAAGTCAGTGGTGGGTTTCAAAATTTTTTACTACTGGTTCTGTGGATGTGGCTTGGTGGGCATAGCGTGGCTTGGTGGGTGTGGCAGGGGAAGGATACTGTAAAATCACCATTCCCACCCCATTCCAGGAGAAGGATACTGTAAAATCTCCATTCCCTCCCCACTCCAGGGACAGTTACTGCAAAATCCCCAGGTCCTCCTGATCAGCTGGGACTCAGGAGAGAGAGAATAGATGGGGGCAGGGCCAGTCAGAAGTGGTATTTACCGGTTCTCCGAACTACTCAAAATTTCCACTACTGGTTCTCCAGAACTGGTCAGAACCTGCTGAATCCCATCTCTGTGCTAAGTGTTCCATTTGTTCTCATACTTTGTCACCAAAACTTAGGAAATCCTACCACTGGCCACAGTATACAGCCTCTCAAGTGGGAAGAAAGCTTCACAGGAAAAAGTCTACTATAACTGTCAGGTTTGGAAGGTCATGCTTCATGTTAAGGAAAGTACATATTAATTAAAAATAATACCTTAGAAAATTAAATGTTACTTTATCTGTGCAGTTATTTTAATTTAAATACAAATAGCCAAAAGGTCAAAACAGAAAGAAAGAATGCATGCCTGAAGAAATTTCATTAATGACAAAAACTTCTGTAACTGCTAGCTTGTTAATAGTAAGATAGAAAAAAATTGAATCCATAATAAGCAGGCATCTTGGAAAAATATGAGTTGAGCTGAATAATGTGAAAACCTTGGATAAGACTGCTAAGATTAAGATGCTAAGCTTGTCAACCGGAAGCTTGGTTCGAGACCCAAGCACAGTGTGATGGAGTGAGCTCCTGGTCCTGCCTCAGCTCATGCCAGATTCACAGTTTGAAAATAAGCAAATACAAGTAGATAAATAGGTACCACTTCAGTGGAAAGGTGCTCTGTGCACCTTAGCTTATAGTCATGCCGGCCACATGACCATGAAAGTATCTTCGGACAATGCTGGCTCTCTTGGTTAAAATTAATACTGCCTAGAGTTGATTAAAAATAAAGGTGGGATAAAAATCCCTAAGTCAAGCAGTATAATTCTCTGTGCAATATCTATTAAAAAAGAATTCTCTATGAATCTGTTTGAAATTGCTCTCAGATACATTATTTGTTATTTTGATGTTATTTTGATAAATTGTTAGAGTTATTTTTCTATATTCAGACAGGACATTATTAGCAGCAATATTTTTCTGCTTTCTCTTCTCTCCTCTTTTTCTTTTTCTTTTTCTTTTTCCTTCTTTCCTTTCTTTTTTTAGAAAATGACACATCTGGTTCTCAATTCAATTATTCTACTAATTGACAGTTGGGGGAATTTCGTGGCTGATTTTCATAACAAAGAAACTTTTGTTTGGTGTTAACAGATGAGAAACAAAGACATGGGGAATAGCACAATGAAGGAGCACAGGGTTATTCTTTTTGTTGCCTTTATGTTACTAAAAATAGTCTTCACTTACAATTACTGATTTTTTTTATGAATGTTTGCTGAATATTTATTCCACTGCTTTGAACATTTGAGGTTGCTGTTAACAGTTAAGAACATTTGCACAATATATAGTTTATACTTCTCTTGTGTTACACATCTTGGCAAAGGAATTCAAAATATCAGAAGAAGACCTGGAGTAGGAAAGTTAAATTCTAGGCAATTACTACTGCTTTCCTATCAATGATTTCATCATTGCTTAAATATATGAGATTAAGCATTCCTTACAAATTCAGTTTTGGGAACTTGATTGGTTCAGAGATTTGGTAAGAGATAGGCTCAAAGAGCATAGGATTGAAAGGAACCATGGAAGTCTTCTAGCCCAACTCACAACATAAGGAGCTACTTCAGCTATTTAATAGCTTTCATGGTCACTCCTTATTTCTTATTTTCCACCAGTGGTGGGTTCCTCCTGGTTTGGCCCGGTTCCGCCGAGCTGATAGCGGTGACGATATGACGTCACCGAACTGGTTCTGCCCCCCCGCCCCCCTGCATTATTCTTACCTTTTATTTGGCCCCACCCCCAATCTATTGCTGCTTCCTGAGTCCCAGCTGATCAGCTAAAGGAAAAAAACCTGTTTAAACTCTTGCTGTGGGGCTTCAAAGGGCCGCCCTACAGCTGATCAGTGTTAAAAGAAAACAAATGAGTAGACCGGTGCCTGCAAGAATAAATGGGTAGACCAGTGCCTGCAAAAATAAATGGGTAGACCAGTGCCTGCAAAAATAAATGGGTAGACTAGTGCCTCTAAAAACAAATGACTAGACCGGTACAGCTCTGCAAGCAGTTAAAAGCCTGGTAGACCAGTACCTCTGCTAAATCCTAAAGAATTGTCACATGACCATCAAGCCATGCCCACAAAATAAGCCACACCCACAGAACCGGTAGTAAAAAATTTTAGAACCCACCCCTGTTTTCCACCCATTGTTCTGCTCTTACCATTGGGAAATATTGAGACTAAATTAGCTTCCACTTCTCTATGATTTCATTTCAAGTTGAAAGAGTGCTATCAGGTCTCCCCTTAATTTTCTCTTCTTCAGGTAAACATACCCATTTATTTTATCTGTACATCACAAGGGTTAGTCTTAAAACATGTCAACATTGTTTTTCTCTGTACTTTTTCCGGTTCCTTGGCATTCTAAAATTAGACACAGTATTCCACAGGTTGTCTGCATAAAAGATCAGAATGATCATTTCTCATAATCTATCTCTGTTAATACATATCAAGATTGCATTGTTTGTAAAAGGCGAAAGATTTATACGATTTCTTACAATGCCTTGGATGCAGCATCACTCATTAACATGATTTTTTAAAACTAATTTTTATGTTTTCTTAAACTTCTATCTAATAAAACTATTATGTCCAGAATATGCAGCACAGAAGACCTTTAAGCCAAGATTCCAGAATATAATGGGATGCGAGGTCTAATGCCCAGCAATGTATAACTCATCTGCCAAAGTACTTTACCTCTGGTTCCCTTTTTACAGGAAACAGAAGAACTATATTTGATCAGTCTTATGCTATTAAAACATGGGATGCGGTGGCTCAGTGTCTAAGATGCTGAGCTTGTCGATTGAAAGGTCAGCATTTCAGCAGTTTTTGAATCCCTAGTGCCGCATAACGGGGTGAGCTCCTGTTACTTTGTCCCAGCTTCTGCCAGCCTAGCAGTTCTAAAGCAGGTAAAAAATGCAAGTAGAAAAATAGGACCACCTTTGGTGGGAAGGTAACAGTGTTCTGTGTGCCTTTGGCATTTAGTCATGCTGGCCACATGACCATGGAGACGTCTTCGGACAGCACTGGCTCTTTGGCTTTGAAACGGAGATGAGCACCGCCTCCTAGAGTTGGGAATGACTAGCACATATGTGCGAAGGGAACCTTTACCTTTACCTTATGCTATTAAAAGGACATTTCATTTAAGAAGGCCGTAAAACAACTAGTTCAAAAAGTGTATGTGTTTGATTTTTCTTTGCATTATGCTGTTTATCAGCAGTTTGCTGATAAAAAAAGATGAGGCAGAGGAATATTCCAAGTCACTGTGGAACTTCAGATGAGTTACAAAGCCCATCATCAACTCTCAGTCCTGAGGCTTGTCTGCCTGGGTGGATGAGTGTTATAGTTAGCACATCTGGAAGGTCTCAAGACTGAAAAGCTTCTACGAAGCTTCATGAATCAGCCTTCTGCTCCTTGGTTATTTTCACCCACAACTTTTAATGCGAGTTTTTGAAGTATGATTTTTATTATTCCACTTCTTCTAAGGTAGAGTCAGTCGTAGCCTGAAAGGAAATGATTGCGGATTATCACAGTGGAAGCGTATATATACAATTAAAACAATTTCCTCTCAGAACAATGGGGCAAACAATACAGGAACATATTCTACATTTTGATCTGCTCTGTCACAACATATAAATAATATTACATAATACTGAACTAAAGAAACTAACAAATAGAAATGTATTGTCATTTTTGCGGAAAAGAATAAATGGGAAAGGTTCAGCTTTCAAAATAGATCTGCTGAAGAAAAACAATGTGGCAAAGCAACATTTAGAAAATGAGTCAAAAATTATACCTTACCAATTTTTCTAAATTCTAGTTATTATAAAATGCGTGAAATATATTGAATGTTTTCAGGACATTTTTTTACTGATGCTATGTTGCCTTTGAAGCTTTTTATCTTGGGGAAAAATCTAAACTTCCTGCAGATAACCAGCTAAGGCCGCTCACCATATCCAGAGGACAGAAATGAATGATATTCTCCTCCAATGATATCCATATTGAATATATGCACCCAATGTCCATGTTCTGGAGAACCGGTAGCGGAAATTTTGAGTAGTTCGGAGAACCGGTAGAAAAAAATCTGACTGGCCCCATTCCCATCTATTCTCTGCCTCCCAAGTCCCAGCTGATTGGGAGGAAATGGGGATTTTGCAGTAACCTTCCCCTGCCATGCCCACCAAGCCATGCCATGCCCACCAAGGCAAGCCCACAGAACTGGTAGTAAAAAAAATTTGAAACCCACTGAACTGAACTAACAATTCTTCCGTTTCCATTGATCTGCAGAACAACAAACCACCAAAGAAAGCTTTGTTTTCATTCTACTTGCTTTGATTACTATAGCATCAGAGCAGTGATGGGATTCAGCTGGTTCTCTCCGGATTGCGTGAACCAGTAGAGGCGACTGCAGAAGGCTCCACCCACCTGGTCGGACATAATATGCGAATACTGTGCATATGCAAAAGGCTGTGCGCATGCGCAGAGGTGGCATGTGTGAGTGAAGCGTGTGTGTGTGCCCTTTCACATTTGCGAACCAGTAGGGAAGGTAAGTGAATCCTACCTCTGCATCAGAGCAACAATGCTATTGTAAGGGGGGGAGGGGGAGAAAAAAAGAATGGTTCGAATTTACTGTCAAAGGAGATAATGTGAAGGCATCCATGTGTGCAATTGTGTAAAAAAAGCAAAGCAAAGATAGAGGGACTAGCAAGGAAGGAGCAATTCTATTGTTTATATAGACAAGGCAGGGAAACAACCACTAAGGTCCTGCAATGGTTATAGTCCAAACTGAGTACCAGTCTGACTTCAATCCATTTCGACAGAAACTGAATTTCTTTTCTTTTATATTTTCCATTTAATAACAGTAGGAAAAGAAAATGCAAACTAAATTCAGAAAGCAGAAGGAAAGGGAAAAAAGAATAATAGGTGTACAGAAAAAAGAAAAGAAAGAAAAGAAAAAGAAATATAAATAAGTAGCTTTCAATCTTCGTCACAAATACAAACTTAATAATTCATCAACCTCAATAACATTATATGCAAGTATCTCTTCTTTCTATGACCCATCCCTTATCAATACATAAATCCAAAATCATTGACATTTTAGTCCTAGTGAGAGCAAAAAGTCCATAAAGGGATCCCAGATTTATACAAAATGTCTTATTGTAATCTTGGTCAAACAAACTAATCTTATACTCCGTTTTTGTTTTTGTTTTGCTCTTAACAATTTTAAATCTTTAGTTCTAATTAGATTTAGTTCTCATCTAATTTCAATCTTAGATGCTGTGTGGGATTTGATTTATTTTCTATTTTACTTTTTTCCATTTCAAAGATTTCTTCAAGAATTTAACTAACTTTTTTGTAAGTCCAGTAAATGTCCTCAACCAGTCAATTTCTTGGCTTGTTACTTGTACTTTCATTGTAGTTGTTTTACTACATTTTTATAAAATAACCAGTACGTTTGCAAATTCTTTAAGTAATCTGATATTTTTGCATGAGGAAATATTTGTTTCATTTCTTTAGATTATAAATCTTCCAAGATATTCTCTTTTGCATGAGTAATTTCATCTTTAATGTCTTTAGGATATAGTCTATTCATAGAAGCATATATCATTGCTGAGATCAAAGCTATTTTTTAACCCCATCTTTCAAAAATGTCCTGAAGTATTTCAAATGTCAAAACATTTACTGTCATTTTGCAAGTTTTGAGATGACAGACACTTTTTTCCATATTTCCCTTTAGCCCTCTCTAGAGTTCAGTTTCTAAAATCACTTAAAGTCTCAAGTTGCTATTTTTACTAAAATAGACTAAAGAAGTTGGTTCACATGAATTTGCTGTTCATTTATATAATTATTTCCAAGATTTTGTAGCAAAAGTTCCAGTGTTCCATTATTTCAGGTTTGTCCCTTAATTCATTTATAACTTTCTTAAATCAGATTCCTATTTAACTTTTTGCTGTTTATTTTTTAATTTTCTAGACGTTCTTAAGCTTATAGTTAATTTTTCTTTAATTCAAAAATGAAGTTAAACTCATCAGCTGACTTTACAGACTTTTAAATATATCTAATCACTTTAAGGTAGTTTAATCAATCATTTTTTAAAGTGATTAGAAAATGAGATAGTGAAATGAATGTCCTTTAACAGACTCCATCTTGGTTGACAGCATGATGATTCCATTTGTCTTCTGGTGCGCAAATCCATGGGGAACTGCTATTCTGTGGTCTTCTTGCAAGGAGCAACCCTCTGAAGCACATGTGGGTGATCTATTATTCTCTTCTTATCCAGACAAGTTCTGGGTCTAGACTACTTGCCAGTCATTCAGTCATAGCCACAGTGAGAACCTCCACTCATTCAGAGACATCTTAGCTTGCCGCCCAGAAACTGCAATCAAGAATGGAATTTCTGGAAAAAAAAACAGCTGGGAGCAGCTCAGAAGAGAACCAACTTGGGCTTCAATGCAGAATGCTCTTAATCTCACAGACAAATAGAAAATAGAACTATATTCAATAAAACATGTGCCAGGTTTTGGTTGATTTGGAGAAATATCTTCATTCTGCCCCTATCAGGTAGCCCTGTGAGGTAGTCTAGACAAGAAGCACAACCAGGAGTAATAGTTACATTAACAGAATTTTGCCAGAGTGGAAATATTTGTCCCTTCTTTTCCTTTTAATCTCCTGACAACTAAGAAGGGTCCCTTCAGAAATATTCCATGCCATTCCCCCTTCTGTTGACTGAGACGTGTTTTATATGCTAATTGTTCAGTTTGCAGCTCTTCCTCCTATCTCCCAAGATCATTTCCACATACCACTTCAGTACCTCATGCCTTCCAAATATGTAATGTGAGCATCTATTCAGAGATCGCATGTGGATTGGTAATAGTGGGCACTATATTATAGGCTAGCATTGTTAAATGATCCCAAGATGAAAAGATTGTCCTAAATTTATATTTATGTATTAATTAAACTTTTATATTTCCTTTAACAGAAAACTCACAACTCATGTGGTATCTCTGGTAGACCCTTTAAGAATTCTTGTAGTGATACTTAGGATAGTAATTTCAGAGAGCGGGAATAAAAGCATTATTATAATGATGTAGCACCAGTGATAACATTTTTGTTTTGTCGTGCAGGAATTGAAGTCAACATCCTATCTATATTAATGACAATGTATTTGTTCTGAAGAGAGAAAATATAAATGGCATTTCAAGTAACTGCTTACTTACTTACTGAGTAGAAATGTGTAATATTTGCTGGGAGTTATTTCAGGTACTTACAAATTGCTATTCAAATGTCAATGAATAAAGTGGCATTAAGCAAACAATCAAACAAAAAAATAGCAATAGCACTTAGACTTATATACCACTTCACAGTGCTTCACAGCCCTCTCTAAGCAGTTTAAAGAGCTAGCATATTTCCCCCAACAATCTGGATCATCATTTTTCTGATCTTGGAAGGATGGAAGGGTGAGTCAACCTTGAGCCAGTGATGATCAAACTCCTGGTAGTCAGCAGAATTAGCCTGCAATACTGCCTTCTAACCACTGCGCCACTATGGCTCACACAGAAGAAATCAATCTTAGACCTGTTCTTGACTTGGTCTGAAATAATAAATATCATAAAAGCCACTTGGAACACATTGGTTTTATGGCACTATAGCAGTGGTGAAATGTAAAATTTGTTACTACTGGTTCTGTGGGCATGGCTTGATGGTGGTGGGTGTAATGTGACTGGGTGGGTGTGGCCAACTTTTTTTTTTTTTGTACTTTTAAAAGCATTTTTTCTACAATCTCTTCTTCAGCTGAAGAGGTTGTAAAAAAATGCTTTTAAAAGCCTCTGACAATCAGGCAACTCAGCTGGGATTGTCAGAGGCTTTTAAAAGCATTTTTTCCTACAATCTCTTCGGCCAAAGAGGTTGTAGAAAAAATGCTTTTAAAAGTAAAAAAAAAAAGCCTCTGATGATCGCGTGGCTCAGTTGGGCATGGGTGGGGCTCAGGGATTTTTGCTACTGGTTCTCTGAACCACCCGCCGCCATCGCTACGGGCGGTCCGATCTGAACCGGGAGCATTTCACCCCTGCACTATAGAATATGCTTTGACCAATGAAGGTGGCTTGTTGAGCCTGATGTGTTAGTACAGAAGTTCTTTTTCCAGATGTTTATATTTTAATGACTTCCCCACCACCACTTATGTGGGAGCTTCAAAACTAAAAACCACTCCTCTGGAAGAATAAAAGCTTCCTGCAGTGGCAAATGGTGTATTTGAGCTTTTAGGAAAGTCACAATCTGCTCAATTGTCCTTTTAAAAAAAACAGTCTAATGGAATGGAAATCGTTGTGACACTATACAGCACAAAACAGGAAATCTGGTAATGTATCTGACATAATTCTTCCCTTAGGGATACTGCAAACACTTGTCTGTCTTTGTTTCATAAGAAGCAACTTCTCTACCTTGGAAACGAGCTCACACATGATCTAAATTCCATGTAATTGATGATGCAATCTTAAAATGTAAAAATTGGCTTGAATTCTAAGAAAAGGAGCAATATACAGTATATTGGTTATCCCAAATGTGGCACAATTCCCAGGGTTCTTAACCTGAATTGTTCTTCTTCTGCAGAGTGATGATGAAGCTATTATGAACCCATCAAAGCTGACAATTCAAAGGCTTAGTAAAATATATAAATTCTCCAGCGCCAGATTTCTAAATGCATGCATGAAGGTGTGTGTTTCTCTCTGTGAATATCTATATGCAGAGAGGTAGATGTTGAAGAATATGGAGTTTTAGTGGACATGCTACTGAGGTTTGCAGATTGTTTATTTTATGTAGCTCAAGATCATTCACTCCGTCTTCCCTGTTTGTTTTGATACATTAATTTTCAGATTCATTTATCCTATTGCACACTATTTACTTAACTTCTGCTGCAAATCATTCAGATTCCCAGCCATCAACATAAGATTCTCTATATGCAAAAGTAACCACACATTCATATCCCAACTAACACACCTTTAATGTCACCACAAGCATTCTTTAAGTTATTCATAAAGACGTTATAACTACCAAAGAGATATAATGTGCCCTTGCTCAGTATTGAAACAAACATTCATTTATTCTAATGCATGCTTTAGTTCCATAATATACTGCTCTTCTCATATTCTGTGATTATCCTTCATATTCTCTCAAAGCAGATCATAACTCAAGCATATTTACTTTATTCTCTAAGTCAACAAGTGAAAAAGCTTTTTAGTGTTTACACATTTCTCAGGAACAAGTTGAAAAAAAAATCTGTATTAATTTTAAGTGGGTGTTTCAAACAGTAAAGAAACATAAAGCATCTCATATCTCTTTGTCACATGAGGAAGCATTTCACTGAATGTTATACTGTAATAATCAATATATGAATTCAGTCAGTAAAGTTACTTTATGGTTAACAATATCAAAATTAAATCTCCAACCTAAGAGTTTCCACATATATCTTTCAGCATTAAGGGAAGGTACTAACATGCAACCGATAATTTCATAATCCAAAATGAGAAATAATATTGACAGTACACTGCAGGTATCATTTTTTTTCTGTTACAGCAGCATCCATCTGAGAAGGTGTTCAAAGCTTGAGTGCTTTCCCACCCAGTCTCCCAAGCATGTTGGGACTCTCATTTACCAAAATATAGAATGGGTTTAGTTTTGCACACGCTTGTGCATCATTTTGCTCCTCAACCATTTTTTTTCTTCTTGCTGGCTAAAGAGAAGTTTTGGCTGGGATAAGGACTACATTTGCATATCTTTGCTTATTTACATGGAAGTAAGACCAGTTAAACTCAATATTACTTAGTTTCTAACCAAACAATAGGTTGTTAAGACTGAAGATAGGGAATTCTAAGAAACATAAAGTACACTGATAATACCCAAAGAAACCACAACTTAATACCTCAAAGTTATGTATCTAAAAATACAAGTTCCACCTGTCTCAGCAATAGCAATATGAGAAACATAGAATCAGTTATAGAGAAGAAGCATTATGGGTTTACGCCTTCTTAAAGCACTACAGTCAGTGTTTCTCAACCTTAGCAATTCTATGACATGTGGACTTCAACTTCCAGAATTCCCCAGCCAGCAAGTCTGGCTAGGGAATTCTGGGAGTTGAAGTCTGCACATCTTAGATTTGGCAAGGTTGAGAAACACTAACTATAGTAATGGTTTAAACTCTGCTTTCTATCCCCAAAAGCCAAGATTGTACAGTTTTTCTTCAGCCCACTGTAAAATACTGTATATTCTCTTAGCCCATTCTATCAGATACGTTTTAACTTGTTACAGTGTCTTCTTGGTCAGATTGTTGCCTAAGGCTTCAGAAACCAGTCGAAAGCAAAGCTGTAATGCAACTTGCCCAAAGAGATTGGACAAAATAATATATTCAAATAAGGTTGAATAGAAATCCTGCTGTTTAACCTAGTACATTCCTCTTACATATTAGTCCATAGTTTTTCTGATAGTCAGAGCTTTCAAGGTAGGAATATGAAAGCTATTGCATATTCATGGGTCTGATGCAACCCTCTGCTTCTGAACAGTTTTGGGCTTGTTCCTCTGATTAGAATAGTTGAACATGCAGGGACATAATGCTTTACATGCTATATATACATACAAATTGACTAACAGCTATATTAGATTATATATTTGTCAACTGTTCAGTCCAATGGCCTCATATCCTGTTTCAAACCATCACTTTAAGTGGACCAGCTGACTCATTTCATAGTTGCTGTTGCTAAGTGTCTAAATCAGTTCAAGAAGGAGCATGACAAGGAGTCACTTCCTCATGCAAAGTTTTTGAACTTGTGGTATTCTAATTATCTTTTACCTTTCAATTTCCTCAGAAGAGATCAGCACTTACACGTCAGCAGCCCCATCATATCATCCGGTCTCCTAAAAGAACAAAGCACTTAGGGGCAGTAGTGGGATTCAGTTCGCACCACTTCGGGAGAACCAGTTGTTAACTTTCTAAGCAGTTTGGTGAACTGGTTGTTGGAAGAAATCATTAGGGCAGAGAACCTGTTGTTAAATTATTTGAATCCCACTACTGCTTAGGGGCCTTCGACATGGGAGTGGCTCAAGCCTCTTTGGATTTCTGAGATGTGTGTGTTGTGTACAGTGGGGAACTTGTAGCCCCATTGCTTTGCTCATTCTGACCTAAACCCCCCCCCCTTTTCAGACCAGTAACAAGCATTGCTTTAGACTCCAGCCACTAATTTACAAAATGTGGAAATAAAACAGAACTGTCTTAATGTGTTTTCCTGCTATTCTTTCTTTGGTGGCTGCTCATATTTTCACTATACAGTTCACCAGCACAAATGAAGATTTTTCTTTTAAGTGGGAGAAAAGCAGAAGGGGAAGAGGAGGCTGTGAAAACCTGCAGTCGAACAGTTCTTCATCTGAGTGTGTTGAAAGGTGCTGTTGTCAGTTATTTTTAGGTATCTGTTAAAAGTTCATATCATCCAGCTTCCTTAAACAGCACGTTGTGGTGAAGGCTTTTTTGTTTTG